GCACGAGATAGTGTATAAAATTCGTGTAAAAGCCTATTTGCAGAGGTTTTCGCGCTTCAAAATTGACGCTTCATTTTTGAATATTTTTCAATGAAATTTTCACAGTGCACTAAAAACAAGACTCCACAGGGTGCTATAGAGCCACTTTTTCGTTTTTTCCTCTGGGTTATTTTTAAAAAAATCGAGAAGTCGAACAACAATTATCTGCACTTCCACCCACCATAACTCCTGAAAAAAATTTTTTTTTAGAAAAGTGGCTCTATAGCACCCTGGACAATTGTCTTCTGAACATACTGTATAAATTTTATTCAAATATATAGAAAAATGGAGCGTCAATTCCGAAGCAGCTAAACCCTTGTAAATGGCCTGAAACTCACTGCGTCGGAGCCGCCTTAAAGCAGTGCAATCATTTCGAAATTTTTATCATTTACTTATTATGCTTCATTAAGTACTTATACAAAATTTTATTAAAATAAAACCATTTAAACTGGGTGTTCGGATTTATAGTAGTAGTATTTATATATATATATATATATATATATATATATATATATAACTTGAGACGTGGTCATTGTCGTCTAAACGAGTTAGGTGAAAAATTAAAGCTTCCGCCTTGTGTTGGGTACTTCGACAAAATTTAAGCAAAGAGGACTCTTTATACTTTTTTTAATTCTCTCTAGCTTTCAATGGACTTTGCCATCATCATCAGGAGAGTAGTATGTGAGGATGTTGCTAATTGTTGTTTTCGTATAGGATGAGGGAAACGTCCAGTAACGTGGTGAGAGCTGGATACAACTTGTCTTGTCATATTTTATATAATTTTAACCATTGTACCATGTATCCAGCTCTCACCATGTTACTGGACGTTTCCCTCATCCTATACGAAAACAACAATTAGCAACATCCTCACATACTACTCTCCTGATGATGATGGCAAAGTCCATTGAAAGCTAGAGAGAATTAAAAAAAGTATAAAGAGTCCTCTTTGCTTAAATTTGGTCGAAGTACCCAACAAAAGGCGGAAGCTTTAATTTTTCACCTATATATATATATATATATATATATATATATATATATATATATATATATATATATATATATATATATTTCACGATAAGTGGGCTAACTTGTATCCCCATAATGTTTCTTATAATAAATACTATGGTTGCAGAAAACGTGGTCAGAAACTAATCGGCTGTCATCAAGAGTCATTTCATGACCCCGTATCAATTTAGGCGTTCTAAATATAAAGTTTCACAGTCTTCCTGAGTAAGATTTCATCTGGGATTCTACATTCCGTTAAAGTGTACGGTATTACATTACCAAGTGATTTACAAACGCACTCCTGCATGTAGTTGTTTGATGCTTAAAGTGGGGCGCAAACCAGAGCGGTGGCGGTCGCAGTGGCGTTAGCGATTGCGGTGGAGAGCAAATAAGGTGCTTATAACTTAACCGGAGCACGCACACCTGCGACGAGCTGGCAAACGCCCCCGCTCTATTCTTTCTAAGGAGTAGTAGCAAATATGTGTGATGCCAAAAAACTGTCAATACTCATAAAAACACATGTACCTTAAAATGCATGTTATCAAAAATAAAAAATGTGTAAATTTCTCGCGACTACAATAGGCGACGGAAGTAGAATCAATATATTTTACATGCACATGTATAAATAAACATTCAATAATTTAAAAAGCAAAGTTTCTTCTTCTACATCCTGTGCACTCATTGCATACTTTAATTCCGAATACTCTTAAAGATACTAAATTTGTTGCTGAAAAATCGCATTGCTTGGCGGACATGAAGTCCGCCTGGTGATCGCCACCGCGATCGCTATCGCCACCGTTCTGGTTTGCCCCCACTCAACTCAAACTGACATTGCGACAGTAACAAACTCTCTAGAAGTTAACGTGGGTGCACGCATAAACGTCAAAGTGTTAAGCGCATCGAAGTACTGTTGTCTGTCTCGGTGCATGAATTATGAGAGCAACCCTTTCAAAAATTTAGATTAGATTTATCAATATCTTGATGCCACAATTACAGAACAGTCTATGGAATTTGAATTAAATGTAAACGAAGCTGTCACATAATTCTTTCAAGTAGAGTCAGTCACGATGGTTATAAGTCTAGTTTACTTTTGAACATTGACGTCATACGAGAATATCATTCAAATTGCAAACAAAGGTATAGAATATAAACAATTCAAGCCTGATGTAAAGTCAACAAACTATCTATCTACCTTAAATTCCAATATACTTTAGCCAATTCTTGTGACTTGATAAAAAACCATCGGCGGAAGAAACGAGAAATATGCTTCATGCAACGTAAATTGTAACATCTGAACCTTATCGTGAGGTTTTCATGCTGATAATCCCCCATGTTTGTCTGGCCAATCGAATGTTTTTAAAATTCTTCTTTATTGTAAACGTTTCGGTCCCAACGATGATATTTAATACAAGACACTTTTTTGTATATATTTACTGGGACCGAAATATATACAATAAAGAAGAATTTCAAACACTAGTGTTTTGATCAGCTAGGCAATCATGGGGATTAGCAACATTCATTCTATATATACATTTAACATTGCCTCGACGCTTATTCCCCAGGGATGTTGCGGATGTAGATTTTTTTACTTTCGTGGTTGCCGGTTTTTGAAATCTCGCATCGCACATGTGAAAGATTGTTAGTTATTATTCCCATCATATAATCAAATATTTCGTTACTGCAAATTAGTGTTCTCAATCGTCAACATTCCATTGGTGTCGCCGACGTCCCCTAAAATCTCGGAAACTAGTAGCACAGATGGTGGTGATCTATACATTTTCATTGAGTGATCTTGAAACTGTTTATCAACATTTTGTTTGTTCAAAAGACTCATGGTTTTCGAGATATACATCAATTTTTTTAGCAAAAATCGACACTCGTCTAGTTAAATGGTTGCCATTCCTACAAATAATGTTTTGAGCCGGGTTTGTTCAAAAATATCCACAATTGATTGTTTAATCGAATTAAGTATTATTTAATTCTTATATTATTGGGAAATCCACATGGGAATTATTCTAATGCAGCAATTCAATGAAAACCAATGTATATGTCTTGACTTTGATACCCTGTAGTAACAAAGAATCGGCTAGGATAACCTTGCCAAATACTTAAAAAAATTGATTAATGTCATTTTTACAGTGGCACTATGGCCCAACATTATGTTTGCTATTTTCTTTTTTCGAGTTAGTCAAGTTTCTATAAAGAAAAAGTAATGGCATGATTGACTTTATGATAGTAATTTTATTATATTCAGTAGAGCGCGTATTCAGCCAGTAGCCATTATGCGTGCCCTTGATCTCTTAATAACAGAGGAATACCTTAGTTTGTGTGAGAATCCACTATGTAAAATTTCCTTGGTGCCCTATCAGATTTTATAACGCAACTATATTATAGAAAACACTTCTGTGATACAGCATGTTTTCTAACAATTCCAAGAAAAAAGTCTGATGGATTCTGATTCAAGAATCGGAATACCCGATATGAGGCAGGATGTCGAATGGGATATCTTCAACTGAGTAAAAAATACATCAATGAGGAAACCTTTTTAGCGAATGCTCTACATATTAGTAATAAAAACGCCCTTAATTCGTATGATAAAAGTTTAGTAGCTATAGCACTTGTTGGCATGTGTCAGTATATGGTCATAATGAACCATGTAGGTGAAGATTCTGTTTAAATGCAAAGATAATATAAAAATACTAAATAACATAAGAAGGTACTAATCAAATCATTATAAAAATTGCAACATCTATAGAGCAGAAATAAACATTCTCGAGGAAAGTGGATCGGACGCCTTGGTCCTATCCATTAGCCACTAAGATCTCCACTAGTACCTACACTGTCTACCTCTCCAAGAGTCATCTACTAGAAACTGATATAATAAACTAGCTCCAGCGATCATATGTATCTGTTAATATTGCACCACGTGCGTGATAAAGACAACGCAAAATCCATGGAAAGAAATTAATTGCGAGGCGGAGATTCGAACCACCGCTAACTCAACGCGCCGACCACCGAGCTACCGAGGTTCTTTTTGGGATTGCCTTACAGATATGATCTTTCAAACAGGGGTGATTTTAGTAACACAGTTACGTGCTGAAATCAGATGGCCCTCGCACAGTGTGGTATCATCGCAAACTAAAAAGATCGTTTAATAAAAGGTGCAGGGCATGCATAAGGACTAATGGTGGCCGCATTGAACACCTAGTCAAGAGAATTTAATGAAAAATGACCATAATATCAATCCTGTCCGTTATTCCCTATTTGTATCATAAAAGCATTTTATTGATATTCAAGAAACAAGACGATCCAATTGCCGTGAAAAGAAAATATCCAACAACATGCCATAAAATAATATCATCCTGAAAATCGCATTAAATGTACATCTTTTTAAAGTATTTTGCGCAGTGATCCTATTTTATTCTTTATTACTGCAAGGTGCCAAACTAAGACGAACAAATTAGTTCTCGTTAAAATGTTGCATTAGAATAGTTTTCGCGAGGATGACGCTACAACATAAGAAAAAAAAACAATATCCTGCAAGTATAATAATCACTCGTCAAATATAGTTCAAACATGATTCCAGAGAATTGTTTTAACCAATAAAAATAAGCGATATCGCCGAAAAATCAAAATGTAGCGACCCAATGAGCCTGCTTAACTTGTAGATGTTCAACTTGATGCGGGACGCAATTGCAGATGCGAATATCCGCAACATCACTACTGTCCCCTGATATGCTTTCGTACACTAGCCCTTCAAATTTGAAAACTGAGGCTTAACAAAGGGTTGTAGGAACAGATACTGCTCTCAAGACTTCTGCATGGTATACACGTCATACGATAAGTCATGAACAAATTTGCATGAGAGCATAGAACATTTCATTTTCTCGTCTCTCCGTACCTAAAAGATTCTTCATATTGTCCAACTAGAAGTGTGGACTTGTGTGTCAACTTACTACCTGTCGCCGACGCGTCCAGCGGCGTCTCCCCCCGCTCGTTGACGCAATCCAAATGAGCGCCGCCGTCCGTCAACGCAGTGATGATCGTGTAAAGCGTCATGAAATCGGAGATGGCCTTGTGATAGTTGACGATCACGTGAAGAGGCGTGTTGCGCTCACCGTCCATGGCATTCACGTCAGCGCCACACTTGATCAGCAGTTTGGTCGTATCCGCGCATGGAAACCTATAGGAAGATAACTTTGTATGAATTACTGAAACTCTTATTAGCTGGAAATCTCTACTGATTAATGTCCATACGTAGCCGCCATTTCGGAGAAGAAAATATAGCCGCAGTCCGTAAATGCTTGTGAAAACGAAAAGTATTACTGTTCCATGCTCAACCGATCCATAGCAGAGCCATCGTGAATTATCTTTAACCCTTCGCAGCATGATGGTCTTCTGTGATGAGCAAATATAGTTTCTAACTGCGCGCAGCCTATAGGAAACAACAAATTTTTATAAAAACGATAACTTACTTGCAGACATCATTGGTGTGGAATTCATCAACCGGCGTTTCAGCATTGCAAGCCAGGTGAAGCAGAGACTGACCATCTCTAAGTGTCACTTGCAGTTGATTCAGTGTGAACACCATTCTACCAATGTTGAACTTTTCTTCTTCTGAACACTGCTTCAACAGCCTTGTGAGAATAGTTAACAGATACAGGGTGGATATCAAGTTGCTCTCTATGTCATCCTTGAAAATTGAATAGACAAGGAATTGAACAATTGCTAATTTTTTAATGGTTGGACACTCAAAACAAAAGGGGGTAAGAAACACCATTATATATGAAATATTCCACATTCTAGCGAGATCCGACATATTTTACAATATGTGAAATGATACTGCCGTCCTAATAGATAGAATACTCAAAACTATAAGTGAGACATAATGGTGCTCCGTGGAGTAAATACTTTAAGTAATTAATTTATGTTGATAGATTCTGAAAGATTGTACTAAAGGTTATGAATTTCCGCAAAATATTAGTTATTATTGTGTTGTGATTTGTAATTAACGAATTTTAGTAATACAAATAAATATGTAAATGGATAAATACAATGATAAAGTACAAAGTGTTGTACATATGCAACAAATACAGGCATAACTGTGATCAGCAATCGAATATTGTAAGACTAAATATCATAAAACGTGTTTTATCTATAACAAATAATAAATTTATCCATCCCACAATGATTTCAGATGTCAAATAAAGCCAAATTATGGGGTTTTGAAGGGGTTATTTAATCACTTTATTACTTTGAATAATTCCTTCATTTTTGTGACGACCTTTAAATTTTTGTTGCTAAGCAAGGGATTCATGATCCACCTAAATGTAGCATATGTATACCTGTACCAAACAATAGCATAAGCATGGCAAGCACAAATGAGCATCGAAACACGCACACAACATTTCACTCAAAATTCACAAAAGCCACAGTAAACTTTTGTCATATTACATGTCAATTTGTACTAACCAATGCCTGGATAAATGAGCATATTACCATTACTGTTTCTGGGTCGTCCTTTGATCCAGGCTTAGTCAGTTTTGATTTGTTCCTCTCTAACTCCAGAATTGCTCCAGCTAGTACCTCTATCACATGGCTATGGGATACCTTGGTGCCAATATGCAACATTTGGGAGAAGACTTGTGCAAACCGTAGAAGATCTTTTGATACTGATACATAATTCTTCTGCCTGCAAAAAATACAAAATTAAGCAAGGAATTATTGTACAATTCATTTTAATAGTTGAAAATTGTATAAAACCCCATAAATCCATTTATCTAATATAGCCATATCTAGTCTAAATTGTGTATATCATATAAATGTATTTAAAGCTTCAGACGTAAGAACATTCTAGGCATTGCTATAAAAATTTTGTTGAACAGAAAACTAGAACAGTTTTTTTTTCGACCCCCCAGAAGAAATTACTACGCACAAAAAGTATATTCACGAAAAAAGACGTTTGAGAATGGGCTGTTTTCAGTATTTCGCTTTGCACTGATTTTCAAAACCTCAAAAGCTTTTTGTTGGGGCAAATTTTCGTCGAAAGGGGCGAAGGTCAAAAACTACGCATGCTATAAAAATCATATGAGATCCAAAAAATAATATTTTGATTTTAAAGTGTTCCGCAATTACTATACTTCCTCGCCAAAATGGCGCGGTATAGGAAAGTACATTACCTCAGTTTCAATGCATGAAGCCACAGTTCTAAACACCTATCGAATCTAGCATTATCTGCAAAAATCGCTCCCCTGTAGATAATAGGTTGAGGAACTTCAGGATTTGAGGATCCTAGGACACGCTCTCTGATAGTGAGTGCTTCCATATGAAGGCCGTTACTGTTACGTTTGATAGCTTCTAATTCTGATAATGTCTGGCACTCTACCCAATTCTCATATGCTGGTATGGGCTGAATCAGTTTTTTCTTAATAGGATTATCTGGATCACTATACCTGTAATGGTGTTTTATTTAAGGAGTTTGGTATAGTCGCTATTTCATCTTTAAGCATAGTTCGCACCACAAGCGACACGACGGCAATGTGATTTCAAATCGACTTTGACTTCGGTTGCGTTGCTTTTGCCTTCTCATTCAAAGAAACATCCAAGCAATTGCCAGTCACCTTGTCACATTGTGGGTAAAGGTACTGACTGTAAACTTACTAAAAAGAAGACGGAATATAAATTAAAAAAATGGGTTTTCGAAAACCCTGAATGCTTCACAAATAAAATCTATCCAGATCAATCAATTAGCACTTCTAGTATTTTTTTTCGCTAAAAAGAAACTAGAAATACAAAACAGATATATGTGTAATGCATGATCTGCGGAAAGAAATATTTTCTAAGCAAACATATTTCTTGAGTCTGATGATTACTTTTAGACGAAGTGGCTTGTCACATTTCTTGTATCAATTGTAGATTGTAGCTCTTCTGGAATGTTTTCAGCATTGCTACTCTAACTGAATCACTTTAAATAACACAAAAGCACAATAGAGAATTACTTTTCTGATATTTGTTTTTTTTTTTTTTGAGAATGAGACCGAAACATTAGCTAGAGTGTCATAATGACATCCACAGATGCCACCTTCAATCCACTCATGCGCAACTGCAAACTGACTAGCGATGGCAGTGTACAGTGATTCCTCCATAGACCAAAAATCCCAAAAACTCATGAATTTATAATGGTCTAAATGAGTCGCTAAGTTATCGAGTAGGCGCGAGACTTTTAAAAAATACGAATAACAATGCAATTAGTTCAAACTGTCATTTACATTTCGTCCATCGCAAGTGACAGCTTCTCGAGTCTAAATACCGGGATGTGTAAGTCACTGCACTTTTTTTGTGGATTATAATTTTCAAGCCTAGTGTTTTCACGTAATGATAATATGGAGGTACAAGGATATGGTATGTATTCTTATTATTTACCTGTTTTATGAAAAAACATTCGACTTGGAGTTTTATATAATTTTTTTTTTGAAAGTTCTGCTTGCTAGATTTTTTCCTACAAAATTAATTCATTTCGAGTTTTATAAACTTTTGGCTGCGCCTTGCTGCCGCTGAGATAAATGTTATCTTAAAGTAGAGAAGGTCTAGATTAGGGGCATATAGGTTTCTTCTGCATCTTGCTGCTCCTTCTTAGATTTGTGAGGTGCCGAACCATATATGTTCATAGTTCAGAAAAAAGAGGTTTTCCAAATACAATTTTGTTGTTTTAGGTAAACTTTTTAAGTATTCTGTTTCGAGAAGGACTATTTTTGATTTTTGGTACTCTAAGGAGGGTAGTGGTTTACGAAAGTTACCTGTTAAAAAAGGACATATTCTCAAAATCTATGTTGGATTTGTAAAGTTAGTTGTTTCCATTATAATGTTATAAGTATTTGAGCTTATATTTTTTCAATATATCTTGTTTGCCCTTATTATGAACTGTTTTATTTTATTTCTTTAATATAAGGTTGATCTTAATATCTAAAACAAAAATACTGAGAAACATTTTTAGTACCTACTTAGCATTTTTTTCTAAAAAAGAATTTTATAAATTGTATTTTCATGTTTGTCCAACTGTATGTTAAGGTTTAAAATACAATGAAAAAGGTTAAATCTAAGTTGTGTATTTATAGCCGCCCTAGTATGGAAGGGGAATCACTGTGCAGTGGTAGCAACCGTTGAGCAAGTGGTCACGTTGCCGACTATTTGCTGTAAACGCTTGTATTTGAATAAATGTGCCGAAACAGACTGCGGTCGGGTCGCACCTGGCAGGCGAGAACGCTCCCTAAATGACAAGTTATGGAGGCTAACAATGTTGCACTTTTAGCGTCGCCGTAACGTCGGTTTATCTGGTAAATGGCATTGTATATGGAGGAGAGCTCCGTCAATGGGTCAGCATCCGAAAAGCATTGAGCCCGCTGTAAAGGTCGACAGGCACTGTCACTTCATTTACAGAACCATCCACACTGGCACCAAATGGTGCAATTTTGGAGTAACTAGATTTTTCGTAAGACACTCTAAACCCTATATTACGAATATCCATTACGTTTTGGCATCTACTGAGCTGAACAGATAATCAGCAAGAAATCGTTGCACCAGTCTGTAAAGATGGCAATAATGAATCGGGTGTAAATCTGGAAAAATTCACAATATTCAGAGCTATTGTTCACATATCTAGATACTTTTATTGACTGGCAATTTTGACAGTATACGCAATACACATAGAAAAATGATTTATTACGAATTGAGAGAACAAAAAAAAGAACAGACTGTTTTGTCCTTTCCAGTATCTGTAATTTTACATATAAAAGTAATATAGATATGCGTTTCTGGTTAATTGTCCATCATCAGCGTAACGTATTTCGAATATGGCTGTTTCATTGAACTCAAAAGTAGATATGACTAACAATATTAAAAACTGTTTATCTCATTTCATTACTACCAGACTTCAAATGTCGTCAAGGCCATTAGCAGCAATTTTGCGTGTAGCGTTTTTTTTGTTGTAAGCATCCCACAAACCGGCGCGAAATAATCGCGGCGAAGTATTCGCAACGAAATTCAGAGCGAAATTCGCAATCTGTTTCGCCTGTTTATTCATACCAAAGCGTCTTATTCGCTCCGCGAACGTGAAGGTTTCGACAGGTTGCGTGCATTTTATTTTTGCCTTTTGCAATGAGCTCGTCTTCAGAAGAAGAGGAGGCACTTCTATTTCTTGCTTTAGAAGAGGAACAAAATGCGCGGTAAGTTATGTTTATTTAAGGCCATTTGATAGTTGGGTATGTATTAAGTTTAACGAAGTACATAAAACAAATATTTTCAATTTTGTTTAGGAAACGAAGGAAGTGGGTACATGATATTAACTTGGAACGAGATAAATTTGGGGAATACCATACCTTGATGCCACAACTTCGGCTGGATGAACAGCGCTTTTACGTATATTTTAGAATGACTCCAGAGTGTTTCGATGAAATATTGAACTTGGTGAAAGATGAAATACGAAAATCTGACACAAATTATCGTGAAGCTATTTCGCCAGAAGAACGACTTGCTATTACACTCAGGTAAAAAAATTATATGTATTAAAATTAGTAGGCTTATCGAATACGAAAAGTTCAGGGATCGTGAAATAAATATTTTATTGTAATAATTGGACTACATGTTGCCACTAGGATTAAATGTTGCTAAATAATTCGAGGCAGAATTTGCCTCCTCTGTTGGGTATATTATTGGAGCAAACCCAGTGCCGCTTGGGAAGGACGACATACTACTATCATACATACTTGCAGAATTCTGGGTAGACGCTGAAGACATTTCTTCAATATGTTCAAATTCTTCGTGCGCTATTAATTCGGCTATTTTTAGTTTTATTCGGGCTTGACGCTTTAAGGGAAGTGTTTTCACAGTCTGTGCATGTGCCAAGAAAAGTGAATCAATGGCCACGTTCTCTTTTTTAGGTTTTTTACCTTCAAAATAATTAATGAGCTGTTGTACAGACGAAGATGGTGGTTCATAGCGTTTTCTGCTCGTTTTATATTTTGGTGTAGTTGCAGTCTGCGGAAAGGTGTGCCGTGGAGTAGTCACTGCTGTAGTGTTCAATGAAGAAGGTGGTGCTGTCTGTGTTGCCGAGGCGTTCTGTGCATCTTCTGCATCTACATCAGCATTTTCATCTTCTCCATGGCCGCGGTCTTCCAAATTTTCGGTTTCTACATTTCCAGACCTTTCCTGATATATATTTGAGTTAAATTCGGCAGTCTCATAATGTATGACGTCAATATCTTTCACATTAGATGACGTTTTGGCACTTGCCACTGGTGACACCTTCTATACCATTGGGCATAGCTTTCGAGTTGGCTTTACAACAGTGAGTGCAATCGTAACCGAAGTCTGTTAAGCGATATGCAGACATATGGAGCATATATATTTACCAGAATCAACAGAGAATATATGAAAAAAATGTGCTGAAGAATTTGAAAATAGATGGGGATTTCCCAATTGCATTGGCAGCGTGGACGGTAAACATGTAACAATCAAGAGACCTAACAACAGTGGCTCCAATTACTGGTGCTATTTACATAAATATTCAATAGTACTTATGGTCATTGTTGGCCCGGACTATAAATTTATATGTGTTGATATTGGTGGTTTCGGAAAAAATAGTGATGGGGGTATTTTCGAAACCTCAAACATGGGAAAACGATTTGAACAAAATTTAATGAGTGTCCCTGCACCTAGATTTCTCCCTGGGCAAAATGAAATCTGCTCGTACGTCTTAATTGGTGATGAAGCATTTGCTTTAAAACCATACCTTATGAGACCATTTCCTTATAAGCAGACTTTAACAGACGTCAGAAAAGAGAAATACAATGTAAGACTTTGTCGAGCTAGAAGGGTCGTGGAAAATGCGTTTGGTATTTTGTTTCAAAAATGGCGAATATTTTACAGGCCATTAGAAACTAAAGTAGATACTACTATTCTAATTGTACGTACGGCATGTGTTTTACACAATTTTTTACGAAGTAAAAGAGGCGATGACAAATATTTTCAATTCTTAGATCCCTCAGAACCCGTGCTTGGAGCTTTTACTGATATAGCAAATGATCCTCGGCGGGCAGCAAGGCTAGCATTTTCTACTCGTGACAAATTCGTAAATTATTTTAATTCTGATATGCCTATGCCCAATATATAGAATGTTCGTTTTCACATTTGTGTAGACTGTAAATTATTTAACAAGTTAATAAAAAATATTAGGTACATACCATTTGTATTTAATTCTGTTCCTATTTCCATCCAAATCTTGTCTTTCTTTCTCACATTCCTGTATTCATCGTTCCACAAATCATACAAACAAGGATACTTTTTCACTATTTCTATCAATGATTCCGTTTTTGCCATTGCGAATTTTTGAAGAACGGCGTCAAAAACGCGGTCAAAGGCGAACTGAAATACGCCGCGATAAAAACGCTGGAACAATCGCATTCGCTTCGCACAAGTCTGAGCCTGTCCGTAAACCGCCGCGTTTTAATCTGATCGCGAATTCATCGCCGCGAAATTTTCGCAGCCAAAGCGAATATTTCGCGCCGGTTTGTGGGATGCTGTATTCCAAGGAAAGAGTTGTCAGTAAGCACAAAATGAGTTCGTAGCTTACAAAAAAAAAATATGGCTCTGAGTACCTGTCGTTGACGGATCCGACAGACTTATTGTCACTTATCCATATGGCGTATTTTGAAATATTACTAGATAATCTATTATTTTGACGCAATACGGATACTTGTGAAAAAGAGAGTATACTGCTTTACGTCTGAGACTAAATTTTGGTTATGGTTGCGTCAAATTTGTTATAATGGATTCTGAATCGGGAGACTGAACGATGCGAATAATATGTCGCACCACAGCTACTTCGTGACTCAAACGTTGTATGTATAGCAGCTGCTCCTGAGCAAATTAAGCCGATCAAGTTAGTTAAAGAGGCCCATACAATTAGTCCGTAGACATTCTTTTTTCATACGCAGCAGCCGCGCAGGCAGAAGCCTAAATGCCAGGACACCACGGCTGCTTTGAGGATCCCAAAGAAATTTTGTTAATCCGATTTTTGAACTGCTTAACGTTAGTAAAACTTTGAAAAGCTTCCTCTTGTAGATTGTTTCCACAATCTCGAGACCTTCGGAACAAGGTAGCGGTCATATAGGCAAGTTCTGGATGTGCGAAGGTCGACACGGTTAGGATGTTAGGCCCTAGTCAGACCGGTCTGTCTGGCAGGCACATCACGCGGCGCCGCCATCATAGAGGAGAGCTCTGAGGAATACAGCCCGTTGGTGTAGCGGTAAACGAGAGCTAGATCGTCGACGGCCCACCGGTGCGAAATGGTCTCGAGACTACCTGTTAGAAAAGAGTCATCGATCAGTCAGACAGCACTCTCTGGACAGCATAGAGCATAGATAATGTAGTCGAGGCGGGAGCACCCCAAACGTCTGAACAATACTTGAGGCTAGGCCTCTCTGAGCCTTGTATAGAGTGAGGTCATCCAGCGAGTACTTCTTAGCCCTAAACAAATAGCCTAGCTTTTTTTCAGCAGCTGTAGCTATTGACGAGATGTGTTCGTGCCAGATCAATACCTTGTTGATCTTGACTCCGACCAGCCAAAATGAACGGCTCTTTGGCAGAACTCGGTCTTCCATCGAAACCGGATGTGCGCTAGGAAAAGTCGTTGATATGTAAGAGGAACAGTGTCGGAGCCAAGACCAATCCCGGGGAACACCCGCGTTGATGTGTGATGTCAACTACGACGGATATCTTGCAGCCAAAGAGAAAGTCAGCCACTCATCTGCAAAGCTTCTCTGGGAGGCGATAGGATGGACGTTTGCATAAGATAGCCTTGAACCACAGCTGATCGGACCCTCTCGTGATAACAAGAGCAATAACATGAGCCTCCCCATAAGACTGGATGAGTTTACTCGTGAAGTAAGTTAAGAGGTCCCCTGTGGATCTGTGGTGCCGGAAACCATACTGCCTGTCGCTAATCAAGCCGTGACTTTCGAGGTGGTCCAGAAGCTCGCAATTTATGCACCTCTCCGACACCTTACTTATAACAGAAAGCAGAGCTGTAGACCTGAAGTTGTAACGGTCGGTCTTAAATCGTTTTTTTTTTTTTTTTGATGGGTTGGACATGAGCAAATTTCCAGTTTTCTGAGAAGGAGCCGGATTCATCAGATATCTGAAAGAGACGCGACAGAAAAGGGGCAAGCTTTGTTGATGTCGAGCGACAAGAGCACCCGTCTTACGCCTGAATGTTACTTCCTGAATAGTGTAGGGAACCCTTTGAATCGACGGCTCTTGGGCTTGGGCATTGGGGGGACATCCATGGAGGAGTTGGCAGCAAATATCTTGGCAAGCACTTCCGCCTTGGACTATGAGTCGGTCCCTGCCCTACCGGTAGTTATCGCCCATTTGGAAACGTTGCACCTTCACCATAGCGTCAGACGCGGCAGCGCCCAACGAAGCTCCGACGGAGTACGAGCAGAACAATCAAGCAGACCGTTATGCCGGGCGCGTAGCTCGGATAGCAGAACGAGACGCATATGGAAAACATCTTTCAGTTTACGATTTAACGACAGTACTGTCGTATGGGGGAAACCTATGTGTGGAATATGGCTAATAGGTGCATAGAATTACTGTCGCTGGGAGCGTATAGATACACTAATATACAAAAATTGAGATATTTCGCGATTACAATTTCCTCGACCAGTGGCTTAGAAAGTAAAACTTGCGCTCAGCGCTTTTCACGTCCGTATACACGTACTAAGACTGTTAATACAGGGTTTCCTCAAAGTTGGGACTTTGCACAGTTAATGTAACAGTCGGCTTTGCATATTTGTACATATACATATACAAGTCGTAACCAAAAATGAAACATCATACACAAGACCTCATTTTAAGGGGGGTCTTCTATGTAACATTTTTTTCTCGAGGGCTTCATTAAAATGATACGGAGTGTTGAAGTTTAAAAATAAAAAACAGTTTTTTCAATATCTTCAAAACCACAACTGGAATGAACTAAAATTTGGTCTGTGGATTTACCCAAGTATTGTGCACATTTAAAAGTCTTCAATCTACTACAAATAATTACTCTTGTGTGTTTTTGCCTAGAGTGCATCGTTTTCGTAAAAATAAAAAAATAAACAAATTAGATAAAGCTTGTCTAGAATGATTATTTAACCATTCGGTTATGTCACGACGGACATGCGGTGGGGCACCGTCGTGCTGATACACATTCGTACTCTTGTTGCTAACGGAATATCATCTAACACATTTTCTATGTAATTCTCTAGAAAACCTAAACATGAGTTTGCATTTAAACGTTGTGACAATGCGTGCATGGGCCATTGAAAACGCTGCACCAGACATTTCTAGTAAATTTGTCTTGAAACGAGTAGATTCTTACAGAACGGGAATTTTCTAACGACCAAATATGTTCATTATGAGAATTAAAGGTTCCAGTCCTCGTAAAAAGCGATCAATAAAATCTGCACTTTAATTATCCAATTGCAGTAACCACTCTCAAAAATTTTGCCGTTGCACTTCGTCGCAGGCATTGCACATTTTGCTGATGGTAAGGATGTAAAACTTCCCGATTTAAAATTTTCCACGCAAGACTTTTGGAACATGGTAACTGGGCTGCAATCCGCCTATTGCTTGTACTAGGATCAACCAACGCCAAATTAATCACTTCCAGTTCCTCTTGAACAATATGCCGGACACCATGACCTCTAACTCCGGGAAATTTAGCAAATCCATATTGCCGAAGTCTTAGAAATGAAAAAACCTTTGGGGTAGGTTGGCGTCTGAAAATCTACGTTGATACTCCCGAGAAGCCGTTAAAGCATTTCCATTACATTATTTATCATTGTTAAATTCCATTTCACAACACTCAAAATTGAAAAAAAGAAACTTTTGGCTTGACTATTACAAAAAAACAAAAATGGTAGTAGTAACGATAACAACCGTATAACACATAACTTTGACAAACTATCTCCCAAGAAACGTCAAGTTGGTATCAAGGCCTCCTATTTTATTTTGAAACTAATTGAATCTCGGCTCATCATCAATGATCTAATTTGTTTTATTTTTTTACAAAAACAGTGTACTCTAGAAAAAAACAGAGTAATTATTAGTAGCATAGTGAAGGTTATATTCGAAAAATGCGCGTTATAAAAAAAAACAGTGGCATACTATTTTCTTATTACTTGGAAAAATAATGCCACTAATCCCATATGTATCTCCGCCACTAGTGCACGTTGATTTTAAGAAAATGATTTTTGAATGTGGGCAATACTTAGGTAAGTCTACAACCAAATTTTAGTTCATTCCAGTTGACGGTTTTGAAAATATTAAATAAAATTGTTTTTTATTTTTAAACTTCAACACCACGTATCTTTTTAATGAAGCCCTCGAGGAAAAATCACCATGTATACCAAAGCTTTAAGATAACCGAGCTATTGATTTTCAAAAAAATCTTAATGGACCAGCCCGGTCCAGCACCCAACGTGAAAAGGTACGAATTGCGTCAGTATCCAAATTAATTAAGTGCCACGCGGTGTGCAGGTTAACCTTTCTGTTAATTTATAAGTGGATTTGAAAAAGCCGAAATTGGCATATTTCCTTAGCAGTAACGATGTTATCAATTTGATGTTAGTTTATGGTCAGTGTATTCAGGATTTTAGTGATACTTGGCGAGTGTATTCAGACCTTCTTTTTTTTGATATTTCTGTCCCGAGGTGCGTAATTTTGTTTATATCATGCACAAGCTGTAGAGGTTGGCAAAGTAGAGGACCTAGGCAACCCCAAGTTTTGTAGACTTCAAACTTATTACCTTTTCGCTGTTGTTTTAGTGCAAATTAGCTTTGTTATTTCAAATGTAGTTATTCCTGACCATGGTTATAAATAAATTCTCACCTTAGCTCCATAGATTTATGCATATACATGTAGGCCTTTGACAAATCATAATTTTCTTTATCGTTCGCATATGAGGCGCCAAGTAATTCTAAAGCTTCAATTCTCTCTTCTATAGATATTTCAGGTCTCTCAATTAGATAATCTATGATAAATCCCCTGCTTCGCTCTGCAGCAGTCATTATGGGTGTCATTCCTGCATCGTCGGCAGAAAACTGAAAATGATACTTATATTTGAAATGACATCATATTGAGCACAATAGTAAAATCGTAGATATTGCTATTTCATAATACGTTCATTTTCTAGTAACAAGAAACAATATTTGTACTATCAAACAAAGTTGACCTGATTATGTGTAACAATTAACATACAAAAACATCTGGTGATTTATTAGAGATGCAGAGCTTTAAAATTAAACAAAAAAAATAGTTGTAAAAGAAGAGACTCACGTTTCCAGTGCAAAAACTGGTTATTTTAGTTTTCCTAAGACAATATCAACTAGGCATTACACTAATTCTCTACCAGTTCTCTAAGGGTTTCTGTTTTTTTTTTCATTTTGAGCTCTACATCGCCAATAAGTCACCAAATAAAGTTAAGATGTTATAATAATTATTAGATTATAGAGGGTAGAGGGATCATTTCCAATCATAAAAATCATTTACGTTCTCCGATTATGCACGGTTTTTGAGTTATCGCCATTTTTAAAAAGTTGAATAAAATCGCTACTTTGAGACTGGACTATTTTTTTGACGTTATCTTTCGTTAGTTCTCAATCAGCTTCACATGATATATTCTGAAATGATATATCGTTGAATAAAAGCTATCATTTGAAAATTAGTAGTTAATGCAGGCATAGCAATTGACTATTCTGAAATTATGAAAGTTGTCAAAAATATTCAACAAGGCCTGTACCAAAAAATAATGTGCAGATGAAGTGTCTATAGTTATGAAAAACATCTGGATATTATGGCCTTTCAAAATACGTTTTATATAATCAAATATTCTAAAGAGCTTTTGCACAGGACAAAATGCTGCACATACCTACCATAAATCACGAAAATTTCCAATTCCTATTTTTGGGATTGTCAACCTCCTTCCTACATTTGGAATGAGGAAACAATTAAGGGACCATAATTCTTTAAGCTGGAATGAATAGGTCTAAACAATCCAGGTATAGGGGCTTTTACATAATTATAATAACATATTTCAGAGGCAGTGCAGAATTACCTGATCCTATAAAGGCAGTTATCAACTTTTTGTAATCCAATTAAGAGAAAGGGAAAGTAAGTCCTTAAATGTAACTAGGCACTATGAATCCAGTATAGGGGCTTTTACATAATTATAATAACATATTTCAGAGACAGTGCAGAATTACCTGATCCTATAAAGGCAGTTATCAACTTTTTGTAATCCAATTAAGAGAAAGGGACAGTAAGTCCTTAAATGTAACTAAGCACTATGAATCCAAAGTCCAGAATACCTATGATATAAAAAGTTCTTAACCTAACGTACATTGTGTGGAGGAGCCCAATCATACTAGAATCACATTGTTTTACTACTAGCTTGCTAAGGGCATGTCATCTAACATCTAACAGTTCTAGTAGACTGTTAATTAAAATGGGCCAATGAATGTACTATTCATTAGTTTAGCGGCTAGACTCTAGCCCATAAGCCGTCTTGAAATTGGCATTGAAAGCGATCCTGCCTCACGATTCGCCCAGTGTTGTAAATTGTAAATGTCATAAATGCCTGCTCTTCGAAAACCGGCTTCATCCATCCATAACATTTGTCCTGATAACTACATTTCTGGATTGTTGAGGCATTCTTCTCCAAAATTGGAGTCCATTTGGGTAGTCTTCAGGAAGAAGTGCCTACCCACGTTGAAACAGGTGTTGCAGCTCTCTACGTTGAATTTGATAAACTGTTGACCTATGTACACCAACATTTAGTGAAATACGGCTCACACCATAGTCTCGAAAATTTGTGCAATTGGAATATTAGTTTTGATACTTTTCAGCCGAAAATAGAGCTTTTCCATTGCACAATCCACAAATGAACAACGTTTTGCATATTACTGTGACAAATACATCTTGGATCAAAATCGCAATATATTAGAATCACACAATAATAAGTACTGCATTGTTTTTATAGTATGGATGTTAGTTTATAATCCTATACATGTCTTATCCTATTTGTGTTACAAAAGGCCTTTATTGGGTTAGGTATTATGGAACAGCTAGGATAATTCTTGTATCACCTTAAATAGTGTCAAGGCCACCATCCCTTACATTGATCAACCCTGGTATTAATTTGAATTTGAGGTTTTATTGTCCCTTAATCGTTTTATTACTCTACCCCCAATGTAGAAGACTAACAATAGAAGTTACAGGATAAGTTAATGAAATAGGGGTTTTCAAGAGCCAGGGTACCTGCAAACTATTTAGGATATTTGATTACTTAAAAACTATTTTGGAAGACAATAACATCATGATGTTTTTCCAACTAAGTACAGTTAATTGGCCACTAATTTTCCCACTAAGACTACTTGAATATGACGTCATATTTGGACAAAGATTAAATTACAGTTCAGCCGATTGCTATACCCTACATTAACTTACTGAACTTTCTTCAAAGATACATCATTTGGGAACAAATCCTCTAAAGCTGATTATAAAATAACAAAAGATAAGAAATAGTACAGTTTCAAAACTAGCGATTTTATACAAATTCCCAAAAATGACGATAACTCAAAAACCTGCGCAACCGGATAATGACATAATATGTATTTTTCCTCTATTACCCTTTTCGTTTGATCCATGTCTTTTGGGACACCAAGTATAGACTTACTTTGGCATTGTATTTTAATAATTCCTTAACTATATCCACATATCCACATTCTGCAGCAAAGTGCATAGCTGTTGCACCACATAAAGCTTTTTCATTGGGGTCAGCACCAGTCTCCAATAGAAAAGAAACCTGAAAATAATAAAACAGGTGATTCAATTAGAGGTACTTTTTAAAAAAAACAAAAAAACAAAGATAATCAACTTTATCGTATTTCCTTTATCATCAAAACAAAGACGTATTACTGACATGCAGTTCTTGAAGAAAAAAATATAAAGACAATCAACTTCATAATGAAAGTGACTAAAGCAGGATCTAACGGCTGGTTCCAAAAATCGTGCGACTCAGATGGTCGGCAGAAGATCAAGGCACACAACTTTACAAAGCCCCACTGTAGAGAACAGACAAGTCGATGTCAAGCCTAGAAACAAATATAATGAAGCAGTTTGCAAGACCTGCACAATGCAAAACATTGAGCATAGGGTCATAGTCTAATGGCAGTAGGTCTTTCTCAGTAGCCTTCCACCAATTACGTACCAGGATGGAACGATTGTAACCAACTCAAAGGCTGATGCGGAAGACCATGGACGTGCCCCTCAATGTCCGAGTGCCGTCGATTCAAAGGGGTGCACTAGTAACCTTCAGGCATACAGGTGCTCTTGTCGCGAGACATCAACAAAGCTTCTGGTCCGGACTTGATTCCTGCTTTTGTATTGAAGAGATGTGCAACGGAGCTTGCTCCAGTTCTTTCGCGTCTCTTCCAGATATCATCTGGTACTTCTCCAGTAAACTGGAAATTTGATACTGTACAGCCCGTTCCAAAAAAAGTATCATGGCTTGATTAGCGACAGGCAGTATGGTTTCTGGCACCAGTGATCAATGGGAGACCTACTCATCCAGTCATATGATGAGGCACATTTTATTGATCTTGATATCACGAAAACTTTCGATCAGGGGTGGTTTGCTGCCCTTTTATGCAAATTTCCATCCTATGACATCTCAAGAGGAGCTTTGCAAATGGGTGATCGACTTTCCTTATAGCCACAAGTCATCCGTTGTAATTGACGAGAGTGTTCTCCATAGATCGGTCGTGGCTCCGACGTTTCTGTTACATTTCAATGACTTCCTTTCTTATATGATCAACCTGGTCACCAAAAACTTGATCTGGCATGAACACATCTCGTCAATCGCGGCAACTGCAGAAAAACCTAGGCTATTTGTTTAGGGCTGAGAGGTACGTTTCTCCACATAACCTTCTCACTCTGTACAAGGCCCCGACTCATCGATGACTATTCTCTTATGTCTCGGACTGACAGCCCGTCGGCCATCTGGCTACATTCAGAACTGGCTGGTATGACCACTCCTTTGTACCTAGGGTATCAAGATTGAGGAACAATCTACCTGTGAAGGCTTTTACCAGTGCTTCTAAACTTAGTAGGTTCAAAAATCGGATTATAAAGTGTCTTTAAGCTCATTATAAATTGGCCGCCTAGATTGTGCGATGCCATAACTTCAGACTGTTTCCCATTTGAGCGATGTCTATCTGGATAATAGAGTATGATTGTGGAAGTAGAAATCAGTAGAATGTTATTCATCAGTACCACTCGAGATAATCTGACACAACTGGGTGTTTTTATTTTTTGCTTTTCAAAAAAGTGTCTTGAAATAAATCAACTGTTACTATGCAACTTCTCTGTAATGCTTTACATTCAGGTGTAATAGTGTTTATGATAATTTCAATGTTTTCCTGGAATTATTTCAATAAAGCTACCAAAAGCATAAATACTAAACCAATAAAATAATTCAATAAGTCAACGAAGTTAGTTGTTACCCAATATGTTTTCATTAGTCCTTTGTTCCTTTCATATCAGTGTCCCTAAACTGTATGTGACATTTTTAATATTAATTATTTCATTAGTTATTTTAGTTGTTGTTATTTTTGAAAATGCAAAATATCATGGAAGTTTAAAAGAAAACATAATTGATTTGGAAGTACTGTAGGTGTATAATGGATTCACAACTAGTCCAGCAACCCTGCATATACAGCATAGCAGGTTGAAATTCATGATGCCAACAAAAATAAAACAGGTCATTGCCATAATGTTGCAGGAAAAGATAAAATAGCATGATAAATGAATGCTCAGCTTTTTTTGGCATTTTTCCCAATTTTTTCATATCACATGCTCTGAAATACTGGTAATTCCAAGTTTATACACTGTTATTTGAGTTTTGTACACCATAAAATATTTCTAAGGTATTTCTTTAGTCTTCTTTGTTTTATATAGCTGGCATGAAAGGCAATAGAATATTTAGCTTTGAAGATTTATGATGTAAAAAAAATGTTTATAAATAAGAAAATCTTACTAAAAGTGTTGGTTAAATCTTGCAATACTTACTACATCTAAATGTCCTTTGTATGAAGCAATCATTAGACATGTATTATTATACTTATTTGCTATGTGAATATCAGCCTTATGCTTTGTTAAATATCTCACAATATCCAGTCTTCCATCAAAACAAGCAGCCCTCAAAGGAGTTGAATTAGTTTTTGTTGCATGATTCACATCTGCCCTATGTTTTATCAACAGCTTGACAATATTCAAGTGACCTGCAAGGGTATTTACATATTTTATTTTGATGGATCTAATACACGGCTCATCACATTGTCAAAACTAGTCTGATGGATATATGATACAAGGTGAGATTTTTACAGCATGAAATTTCAACTAAAACTTTAGACACAGATGGTTTACCACATTTATTGTCATAATGATTTGGATCAAATTTCATGAAATATTATAACAGAATTCAATGACACAATGGATTTGGAAGCTTTGTGTATAAATGATTCAAATTTCTTTACAAAAGATCACAGTCTATAAGTGGCTTTTTCATCCTGAAGATAGCTCAAATTTTATGTTCATATTTTACAACAGATTTATTTAAGGCTATTATTTTAGTTATGATTGTTATTTAAAAGCACCAAGCCTGCACTTATTTGTCCCAGATGCTCACAGCACTTCAAATCTATAACAAAACACACTAACATACAAAAAATGTAAAACAAGAGTTGTTCTACAATATATATACAGGGTGACTTTGAAGTTGAGTCATTAATTTTCAGATAATGATTGTAGCAGGAAGATAAACCAAAATATGTGTAAAAATAAAAAAAAAAAATAAAAAAAAATTTTTACCTTGTTTTATAAAGTATCCTCCCGACAAGTATTTCAGTGCGGACCTGTATTTGATCGTGAGGTCCACTGTGAGGTCTGAAGTCACCTGATTCACGAGCCCGTTGTACTACTATTAACAAAGGCACGAGGGGTTGGTTGCACTCGATTGGGAAACCGATCCGCATAAACATGTGCCATTTTTTATTTCGTTTGAGCCACGCAACAGACACTATTCACACGCGACTGACACTGATTGTATGTATAACTGAACTGAATAAAGTAAACTTCGTTCCAAATTCTTTCGCTTTTTTGTTTCCGATGCGATGAACCGATAAGGTGGATTATATCCGTTGTTGCCAAACACGAGCACATGATGTTATTGAGACAGGGCGGTACTCAAACTTCCAAAGGGCTATAACTTTGTTACTTTAATTTTACCAGAAAAATGGTAAAGGAAAAAAACATTTCTTTTGATCAGATCTACTCACTGTTAAAATAAATGACTCAACTTCGAAGTCACCCTGTATATATATATATATAATGTTCTACAATATATGCAGGCAAAAATTCCATGGATCTGGTCAACTTGGATTATGAGTTATTTTCAAGGGGAAAAATTCTGCTTATAGGCACTGATCATTTCATATAGAGTCCTATGGACACACAGTCAGTTTAGTACGAGCCCCTTCCCACTTCAGTTGGCTCAACTATTGAAATCTTAGTTTTTTTCTTATCAAACACAAATAATAAATTTAATTTTTTAATTCTGGGAAGTCAAACTCAGAAACTTTGTTAGACTTATCGCGGTACAGTGTGAGAAATATTGTTAGAAGATATAACGTAACTGGTTTAGTTAATATTAAGCCATGATGTGTGAAAAAAAGTAATATCACAAATGCCGACCGAAGAATAATCGTGAAAAACAGGCGTGTTAATTATTTACAATTAAGTGCTCTGTGAAGGCCATCAAATGGATGGAAGTAAATAATGTACGACTTTTGAAATGGGTTTCTAGCAGTCCAGATCTGTCACTTATTGAAACTTTGTGGCACGAGATGAAAAAGGTTCTACGACAACATCCTGCTCGTACAATCACCGAACTGAGACAAAAGCTTCAAGTAATATGGGATTGTTTTACACCAAATTTTTGCCAAAACTTGGTTAACACTATGCCCCAAAGAATTTCAGTTGTAATAAATTGTGATAAGTGATTTCAAATATGTATTTTTTACGACTAGAGTGTATCTAAAATGTTTTTGAGAAAATAAGTTGTTTTAGAAGTAAATAGTTTCGTCATGTTTAGTTTATAAAGGCATATTTTGGTACAAATCTTGAAGTGGGAAGGGGCTCGTAGTCATTGAATAGTTGATCAGTCACTTTTTAATCCACACTGCTCTAAACAATTCATATGTGTACATTTATTGATAGTTTTTAATTCAGGTTAAAATAATTATGGACAAAAGTCTAAACAATTTGAAATTACCCGCACAAGCTGCCACCCACAGGGCGCTGGCACCTTCAATGATATAACCATCAAACTTGACGGTACCCTCTACTTCCAGATCAGGATCACAAGAAAGTAGTACTTTGACAACTTGTTCGTGTCCATATCTTGCGGCAACGATGAGCGGTGTATATTCTTGTCCATCTTCCTCCAAATATTTCTAAAACACGAGTCATTGAATCAAAAGTTAAAAATAAACATATGAACATACAGCGTAGGAACAATGCTCTGTCATTCACCTTAGAACAAAGACATGGCTACAAATTTGGCAGGATAAGGGATAAAATGTCTAAAAACTTACCTGGTTGAGAAACATATAGGCCTCACTCTTGGGCAAACTATTCAGAAGGGTATAAAGGGCTAAAGACATGCCATCTTTTGCGGCGTAATATATCCGAGACTTTAGATCATGCGATGCGCACATTTCCAGTTTATATTTGAACCATGCCTCGCGGTATGCTATATTCATCTGAATCGGAAAATCCGTTTTTGTTTCCAAATTTTCGTCGCAGGATAGCAGGAAAATTTTTGACGCTTGTGACCTTGTATTTTGACAGTGCTCGTCACAAAGCGCACGTGCGTTCTGTTGTCATTTTTGCCGAGTCATAGAGCAAGAACGTATGTAGATACGCAATCCTTGTGTAATTAAATGAAAGTGATGCCATAGAAATGAGCTTATTGAATTTGAACCGTTGATTTGAACATTCAAAAGATGAATCGGTAGAGAGATGTCTCCTTTTGAGTCGATGGTCTGGAGTGTCACTTTTTTGAGCAAGAACAAACAAAACTAAAAACCTATTGAACGCCACGCCACCTCTTCTTTGTCAAGTTTGTGGATAAACACAATACAGGACCGTATCAGAAATATTGCTTGTATTTTCAAATGCTCCATTTACGATTCCACAAACATATTCTTTCTTCCAAATTCACTGGGAATATTGAAGTTCAAGTCAAATCTACAGTATGACCCATTGAATTTCATTTTAAGGATATGTATTCTACAAATGACAACACTCTGTGTACTATGTACGAGTATGCTATATGCTTAAGTTTATAGAGAATGAGGGGTAGTCTTGGTCAACTAGCTAAGATACAACTTCAAGAATCTTGAAAGTAGCAGCTACAATGTAAAAATAAATTAAGCAGGCAGCTTGACATGAGCAAAGAACAAACCTTCCTTCTGGACCGATTGCAGTGTGACCGCAACCTCAAGATCATTGAGTTTATAGATACAGATAGAGATTATATATCAATTATATTTCAAGGTACCTAGTTAATATACATGTACAATTACAGGTAAAATTAATATTACTGATCGCTCCATCAGTCTTTCTCAACAATGCAGTTTTCTACCATTTCTTTCAAACTGGGATTTTCCATAGCTGCAGCTATCCTCTCCTTATCATTAATTTGTTTATTAACTAGAACACATGTCATAAAAGTAGTGAAGTACTCTAATTTATTATTATTAACTTACTTTCCTGCTCAGTTGTGTGTGCACCAGCCTTTATAAATATATCGAGCTTCACTGGATAGGGTAGACATCTTTCTAGTTTTATTCTTATACAAAGGCCTATTAGTGTTGCTAGAGAGCAATGTGGAATTGTTGGATTGAACTCCACCCTCACTACGTTGATATTTAATGATGTTGGCTCTTTAACCTAAAATATATGTAGAATTTAATATTTAGCATCAAACAGCTGCAAATGTATATTAATATTCAACATTTTAGCTATAATGCGTATTTAATACACATTACACATGAGTGCTAAAATGCCATAAAGAAGAATGGTCAAAACCTGCTGAATCTATTTATTACATTGTGAAAGCATCCAAGTTTTGTCATGGCTTTGCGCTGCACAATTAAATTGAATCTAGCTCCAAACAGTTAAGTCATCGTCTTCTAACAACTTCTACAGTTACAGACTTACTATAATTCCATCTTCATACACCACATTCAGTTCTTCCAGTGTGTTTGGTTTTTCTGGATCTTTTATAGTCTTAATAAGGTCTGGAACAATTGAAAATATGGATTACATAAATATTGTTTTTTAAATCAATGGTATTACCGAATATTGTGTCTCTCAGCTCACTACTATCTGTCAAGGCATCCCGGTTTTGTTCAGATGAATTGCTTCCTATTTTTTTACGGAATAAAGATAAAAACATTATTATAAATAAACACCTGTATAAACCTTTTTAACTTAACCTCCAATTTCTGCACCATCGTTTGACATGTTCACCGCTTTCCATAAAGGATTATGTGGTGACCAAATTTACACGTTCACTGTATGAATTAGATTTTTTTTGTCTTTATTCTACGTGACCAACTGACCTCTCTTGTTTGCGTTTGCACTTTTGCAGTGATTCGGCGGAAATAAGATGGAATCGTTATCTTATTGACATTATGGTTTGATTTAAAAATGTATATAATCTCCACATTATGCATCATCTTGGTATTTGATTTTTTTGAAGGATTTCACTTTTGGTTTAATATTTGCAGAGGTTACCTGATATTACAAGAAAATGGTTCATAATTCCCAGAAAAGTAGGCGAATCTTGACCTTTGTCCCTTTGTGATTTCTTGTAAGATCGGGGTCGGGGATTCCCTGAAAACGTTTGTCCCATAAGTGAAATCTCACAAGATGTTCAAATACTAAAATGATGCAAAATACATACATAGAGATTGTTGTATACATTTATTCTTTAATAAATAAATCCATAATGTCAATCTCATCATTCTACATATATTATTCTGCGGAAATCACACTTGAAATGATAAGTGATAACAAGGGGGAAGATGCACAAAGAGGGTTTGGTCAGCCTTGAGTTCTGTGGGGTTTGAGCTGGCTGTACCAGCGGCGTATCATAACTACTTCAAAAAGGAGTGACAATAATGACAATAATTTGAATAAAATGTGATGTATATACAAAAATAAATAATTTATAGTTTCCCTCATATACATTGGTCTTATCTAAATATTATCATTTTAACTTCTTAAAATAAGTCATATTTTAAGTTCCTCATTGCACTTATGGTTTGTCCATACAGCCCGTTTGCTGACAATCAGCAAAATAATAGTCGGCGACAAGTCATGACCTAGTTTACTCAGTTTGCTGTCACTGAGTGTATATTACGAGTTGGCTGAACCGGCTGAAGGAGCTAACACCGATTACACTGAATAAACACAGGATTTGTGATATGACAATTTTTGGGTGTATCTTATGTATTTCGAGACCCTTAAATCAAATCTAAAAACAGACCTTTCCTATCACCCACAGATATTCGGTAACATCTACTTTTATGAATTACAAAATGTAACATCTCATATTGCTGCATTTCTCTTCGTTTATGCGATGACGCATATATATATATACGTAGTCGTGCCATAAGTTCTGTCCCATGATAATCTCATGATAAAAATGAAACAAGATAAGATATATTTATAAGAAAGATATTATTTATTCGACAACATTTTTAGAATTCATAATCAAACAGTTTTATTCAAAATGTCCCCCCTTGGCCTTCACACACTGCTTCAATCTCGCGGGCCACTCATCTATCACTGCACGCACAGCTTCCAAAGGAATAGCTGCCGCTGATCGGATCAAATCCGCTTTCAGGGACTCGATATTACGGTGGGCTTTGGAGCAGGCCAACTGCTCTAGCAGGTCCCACAACTTGTAGTCTAAAGGATTGAGGTCCGGACTCCCTGAGGGCCAATCTTCCGCAGCAATGAACTCTGGCACATTGCTTTCCAGCCAGCGCTGCGTACTCTTAGCCTTGTGAGCGGGGGCGGAATCCTGCTGGTAGACCCAGTGTTGGTTGGCAAACAATGTACCACTTAAAGGCTTGACGATAGGATCCAGTATGTCGCTCTGATAGTTTGCCGCTTTTGTTTTCACGCCCTGTTTACAGAAATGGAGCTGAGTGACCCCTTCGTAGGACACCCCCCACCAAACCATGACTGACGCAGGGTGGTGGCCTCTCTCAACTCTCGGAATGATCTCCGAAGCTTCCTGTGAACTCCTTGCATACACTTTGTCATTTTGTCGGTTGAATTTTTCTTCTATGGTGAAGATTTTCTCATCCGTGAACAAAATCTTTCGGAATCCCCCAGCTGCGTACCTCTCCAAGAGCTTCTTGGATCTTGTCGCCCTGATGTGTCGCAAGGTGGCCGTAAGTCGCTGGCCCGTACGTCTCCGGTAAGCCCCTAGCCCTAGGTCTTGTTTAATGATGCGCGACATCGTCCGGACGGGAATCTTCATTTCCCTGGATAGGATCTTCTGCTTCCGGAGTGGATTCCTTTGAATCCTGGCTTTTACGGCTTTGATGGCTGCTGGAGTCCTTACTTGACGAGGTCTTCCGCTTCTTGGCCTGTCATCAACAGAGGACGTCTCATTGTACCGCTGAATGGTCCTAGACACAAATTTACGCGATATTTGAAGGCCGCGTAAGAGTTCAAAAATCTGACTAGCACTGTGATTACACTTATGTAAAGCTATCACTGCAATACGGTTCTCTGCCTTGCCCCACTCCATCGTTATGCTTCGAGAGATCAATACAAACTGAGGTATATGTAATTACCCGAAAAGCGCTTAATCAACTGACACCACAATGTAAACAATCGGACAAGTGTTAACAGGTCTACACTTGTTTGAAAACGAGGGACAGAACTTATGGCATGACTATGTATATATATATATATAATGTTAAGACCTGTCTATTTCTGTTTATTATATGCGAAATATATGTTTAGAGAGCATATTGCATTTATTAGTAGACTAATAGCAGCCGGTTACGTTAATTTGTTATTGTTAAAACAGTGTGTTGTTTTTAGTTTATTGTGATCGAGACTAGCCTTATTGACAATGCCTAGAAATAGTGTAAATAGTGCGAACAGTTTTTGTTAAGTGTGCGGAGAGCTAACTTTTAAATTCCAAAAACGTACTTTTACTCCCCTTGTGTTGAAAGCATACAACTTTTTTCTAGAATTAAAGTTGGCGACCAAGATAAACTATGGGCCCCTCATATATGTTGTAAGACTTGTGTAACGTTGTTAACAGGTTGTTTAAGAGGCGGCAATCGTAAAATGCCCTTTGCGGTACCAATGGTTTGGAGAGACTCGAGAGACCATACTACTGATTGCTATTTTTGTCTCAGAAATATTACAGGTATTGGATCAAAATCGAAACATACTGTTAAGTATTTTAATTTACCATCAGCTTTGCGGCCCATTAAGCATAGTGATGAACTTTCTGTCCCAGTTCCACCAGAATCTTGATATTTGGATGAAAAAGTCGAATCCACCGATTCTGAAAGTGATGGTACAGAAATCGTAAAAATTTCCGATCCTTCGTTTGACCTGCCAGGATGTTCAACAGCGCCACATTTGATCACATAGGGCGAACTTAATGACTTAGTTCGAGAATTAAATCTGTCAAAATCCCAGTCAGAACTCGTGTCAAAATTAAAAGGATGGAATCTTCTCCACGGTGATGTTAACTCTACTTTTTACCGAAAACGGCAACTAGACCTCACACACTGTTTCCGTCAAGAAAGGGAGTTGATATTTATATTGCTCCGATGTCAACAATTTGTTTGACGCGTTAGGACAGAAACATCATCCAAATGATTGGCGCCTGTTCATTGAGTTGTCTAAGCTTAATTTAAAAGCGGTACTGGTACACAACGGTAATAAATATCCATCTGCACGCAGTTCATATGAAGGAATCTTATGAAAATATGCGAGTTCTGTTAGAGCATATCCGTTATAATGAATATTGATAGGCCATATGTGCAGATTTAAAGATATTAGCACTTCTTCTTGGAATGCAACTGGGATATACCAAACATTGTTGTTTTCTTTGTGAATGGGACAGTCGTGCGCGCGATCGTCATTGTATGAACAGAAGGAGTGGCCACTACGTCAGGTATTAAATCCGAGGTTCAAAAACATTGCTCATGAACCACTAGTTGATCCCAAAAACGTGTTGCTTCCACCTTTGCATATTAAGTTGGGACTGATGAAAAATTTGTGAGGCAAAAATTAAAGAGGGTGGGTCCACAAATACGGAAAATCATGAAGGATGATGTATTTGACAGTGCTCTAAATGAAACTGAATTACGAGCTTGGAATGCTTTTAAATCAGTTACTCCAAATTTTTTAGGCAATGTGGAGGCGGACAATTATATTGTGAGTGAACTAATTAATGCTTATAAAGGAATGGAATGTAACATGTCTCTAAAAATTCAATTTTTGGATTCTCAACTCGATTTTTTTCTGGAAAATTTAGGTGCGGTAAGTGATGAACGGTTCCACCAAGACATTTCTGCTATGGAAAAACGGTATCAAGGCAAATGGAGTGTCAATTTGCTTGCTGATTATTGCTGGACATTGTTAAGAGATACTTCAGGAGCAACATATCGCCGTAAAACATTCTGAGATTAATGTTTATTCGAGTGTTTATTAGTACTCTTACACAGATATCCTTATATTTTACGAGTATAAGCAGCAAATAAAAGTGATTTTGGGATAAATTTGGTGAGCGAAACAGATGATAATTTCAAGGCCTACCTAAGAAATTCTGCTTTTTTGAAGTAACTATAAGGTTTGGCAATATTTGACGTATTATGCATTTTTGGAAACAGAATTAAAAACTGTATGCAACTGTGCAAAAATACAATATAAAGTACCTATATAAGAAATAATAGAGTTGATGCTGGAGGACGAAACTTCATATTGAAATTCTCATTATGCCTTCTTGTAGAGTAGAAACCGTGGAAGTGCTAATGTGCAATTTATTTTAAAAACCCACGACAAGTGAAGTTAGGAAAACATTAAAACCATTTTGGGAAAACTCCGTCTCTCTCCAGAAGTACTTTGAATTTCGTATCTTTGTAAGTGTCATTTTGTTGACTATCTAAATACGCAACTTTGCCCTTCGACTTCGTATTCCTTACAGTTTCCGAGATCCCAATGGTGAGTGCCGAATTTGAAACACCCTGTATATGCAGACTAGAAGAAAGAAGTCAAAATACTACTAGGATTTAATAACGTCTTTGAATAACAAAGCTAAATCTGCTGAGCACTACAAACAGTTATCAAGATATGCTTACATAGCTATAAGTTTCAGAGTTCCCAACATGGACAAAAAGAACTGACACTTCTAAAATACTTAAATCGTATAATTTCGCATTTTGAAGCTGTAACAAAAATTTTCGAAAGATTAGTGATCACAAAAACTCGGATCAATTATGGTTCTTGAAAGTTTTGTCCTATATTGTTGGAATTTTTGATCTAAAGATTGCATTCTGCCATTACAGGGTCAATAAACAAAACATTGAGCTCTAAGCACTTTGGCGCAGCCTGATATTTAAAATGGAATTTTGCTCACTTTATCACTTGCTCACCCGAAAATGTTACAAAAACACGTTGCTGTCGAATTGTGCACTGTTTTCTTCAAAAAATTGTTTTTTCGGTTTCTATCTCGTAGCAGCCGCGCAGGTGAAACCAGCATGCCAGAGCTTCGCGGCTGTTATGGGGAGCTTAAAGAAACTTTGATATTCCTATTTTTGAACTGCCTAAGGTTAGTAGAATTGGGAGAAGCTTCTCATGTAGATTGTTCCAGTCTCGATACCCTCGGGATAAAGGAGCCGTCTTATCCTACAGTTCTGGATGTACGAAGATCGACACGGTTAGGAATGAGAGGTCAAACTCAGACGGGTCTGTCTAACAGACACATTATCGCGCGGCGGTATCATTGAGGAGAGCTCTGAGGAGCAAAGTCCGTTGGCGTAGCTAGAATCCCGGTCCGAAAGTATCCCCAGACCGTCCGTTAGAGAAGTCATCGATCAGTAAATGCCTTTTGCGGAGCAATTTTAGTCCTCAAGATAGTTTCGACACACTCTGATAACCGTCACAATTGACTGGAGTCCTCTGATCAGTCAGAAGGTTCTGAACGAACAGCGGATTAGTTGTCGGCAAAAAGTCAGAAACTGTACGAACAGGTAACATCTCTCTGATTTTGACAGTGACCGACAAGTTACCGACTACTGTACGAACTAACCATTAGTGTGTTAGACTAATGCTAAATATATGTTTTTTTAATAATTTGAATAAAACTTCTTTTTAGTCAGGGGTGAAAGGCAGAAAGGTTTAAATGATACACAAAATTACAGCAGCAAAGTAGATATTTTTAAATTCAGGTCGTGTATACCTGCATATAACCATGGATACTTGTTATATGGAAAAAAATGGGATGTGGTATATCCTTGCTTAGGTTCTAATACCACATTCTAGAAAAAGGCTACTGCAGTTGACTAAATGTCAGTAAAAAGTATTTCAAGCATATGTTTTTTTTTAGTGGCCAGACATAGAGGATTATAAGATATGCATGTAATTTGCATGGGAATCTTCTTCTTGCCCTCCAAAAAAGGTGTCAGTTTTGAGTTACACAGTGTTGGAACTTAAGTGATAATATCTGCATTGAGTTGTTGTAGCTCAGTCAGAACCAAAATCACATTGTAAACATATTTTTATTCTTGATCTACTAAAAAAAGTATCACTTAAAATATAAACATTACAGTTCCTGCAGGCTATAATATGATTAATTCTAAGGAATTACTGTTTATATAACAAATTCACATTAAACATTAGCTTAAAGATTATATATACATAATCATTTCAAGCAAACCCATGCCAAGTTCTGGGGATGATTACAAATTATTATAATACAAGTGTATCCAGAAAGTGCTGATCTTATGTGATAATGGCCTACCCACAAACTGTATCAGCATTCTAAGAGGCCCATGCTTCTAATTCCTTCATGTCATCATCATCTTCAACTTTTTCTGAAAGAAATATTAACATTTGGTGTTTGTAATATTATAAACCGTCAAGCAGATTAAAAAAGAAATAAAAATGACGCTAATTTAGGTTGAATCATTAGAGTGACCAGATTGGGAATCGAAATTGGCGCCCTAAGTTTCCCCTAAATCTAATTTTCATTTTACAAATGTGAAACTCTGTCCATAGGTCCACTAATTTCCTAATCTCCTCTTGCTGCCTATGTAGAACACTGACATATAAAGATATTATTGAACTTATATGACAGCCCAGCAGTATGTTTGTAAATTGGTATTTTGCTGCCCTCATAGTTCCTGACATGGAAGCACCAATCTTAATAAAATTATAGGGGTCATAATAGGCAATGCTACTTCACTTTTGATAATCAATACAGTGATTGCATAGGTATCAGCAGGAAACAAGAATGTTTCAGGTAGTTTGTGTATGAAGGATTTCCAGTTTGTACTTGTGGGCAATTTGAAAATTAAACATATATAAATGCATGGGAAGTACTAATTCAATCTAGATATTTGACACCATGTAGGAGGGGGGGGGTTGTGGCCAAAGGTGGCACTCTTACAGGAGATAAATGTTTCTAAGACATTAACTACTTTCTCATAGACTAGTTACATCAAGAAAAATTATTTCACCTAAGAAATTGTATATATGTCCACAATCATGAGGGGAAGAATACAACAACTCATGTGCACCTCTGGATCAACTTTCAAAGTAACAATAAATAAGAAAAGTTGTAGTAAAACATAATAAACATGTAAGATTTAAAACTATCTAGCTTTTCATGTACATCTAAAGATATTGACATCTGAAAACTTACTGGCAGCAGGTTTGGAGGGTTTAGCAACAGCTTCCCCTGCTGGGACAGCAGGCAGTTCTGTGGGGCCAGGCACTTTAAGCAAATCTTCTTCCAATCCCTCTTGTTCTAGTTCTTCCAATTCCTTTTCTAATTCATCTTCATCCAAGTCATCAGTGAATCCTACTGGATTGCTGATAGCATTCGAAATTTCATTTGCTATATCATGTTGTTCTGCAATATCATCCATGATATCATGCACATTATCAATATCCCTACAAATAATTGATTAGAATTTCCAATAGTTTGTATATTGTTGGAACATACAGATTTTTGTGTGCAGATTTCAATGCATCAGCAGCATTTTTCATTGATTGCAAGACTGCTGTATTGGTATTGGCTCCCTCCAGAGCTTCCCTTTGCATTTCAATTGTGGTGAGGGTTCCATCAATCTGCAGAAGATTCTTTTCCAGCCTCTTTTTCTTTTTGAGTGCTTGTAGTGCAACTGCAACACTCAGATAGTAGGTATACAATAATATTTATTCAGAATGTTTACAAATAACATAGGAAGGGAGATAATGTGTAAATGTATAAAGTACTTACGTCGTTTATTTTTGGAGGCATTTTTCTTAGCTACGAGCAGCTGTTCTTCTATTTTCTTTTCTAGGAAATCTTGCTTTTTGACCAACATTTCTTCTGTCTCCCGAAGTTTTTGTATTGCCTCGCCAGTCGTAGGAGTTTCATTTTCTTTTTTTCCTCCGAACAATTTGCCGAAAAAGCTCATTTTGGTTGGCTGCGACACAAGTGCTAATGCTAATATTTTTTAGGACAATGTTATTTTGCGAAATTAGTCATCCACCAATATAAAAACTGTTTTTTGACATCAATTGACACTTGATTTGAAGGTTGGTGTTTGACAAATGACGTGTAATATGGTCGCTTTTGGTAACTTCAAAATTGGTAGACACGTGACTATATCCGATCAACTATACTGTACTTGATTGGCTAGGGATTAAATATCTAATATTCATAGATTATCCAGGTTAATGCGGGTCCCACACGATGCTTCCAACGTTGTTTACAACGTTCGACACCCTACAAATGCCAAGTGTGTATCCTACACGATGGGATGAACTTTTTAGCCTCGGACGTTCGACGCATGGTGGTGCCAACGTCTATTATCGGTGTCAGTGTCGCGCTTGAACCCTTACAACTGAAGGAAAAATTATACAAAATAAACGATGAAACAATTTTTTCGAGCGACCAAAACCTAAGTCTGTCAGAAGCCTCAAAAATGTCGAAAAACGAATTTTGGCCGTTTTTTGTTTGTGTTTCGACGTTAGCTCCACCGCCACTGCACATCTTTTTCGTCATTTTGATAGTAGTAATCTAGGGTCAAAATTTCATCAACATCGTGATAGTACCTTCAGAGTTATCATTTATTTAATCTTTTTCGTGAATTATGAAATGGAACTAAATATATATTTCTCAACTAGTCTTGCATTGCAACAGGACATTATAATAAAACAACTTTAAGTACTTGATAATTTATAATTTACTAAAATACATATCCTTAGGCCAGCCATAACTCACATTCGAAACACAAAATATTAGCAATATGAAAAAAGTGTTGTTATGACAGCCGATCCTTTGTATGTATACTAATTTAGTCCATTCTCCTCAAAAGTTAGTAACGGAAGATACATTATTTTGAATGGGTAGGTATTCAAATCAAAATACTTCCCACTACTTCACCACAATCACAGCAAACAACTAAATAATGATAGTCGCCGCTTTCGTATGGAAGCGTAACGAACCATGCTTCCAAACGTTGTAAGGTCTTTTGACGCGGGTCAAATTTACCGAATGCCCGAACGTCCATGTGGCGAACGTTGGACACATGCAATCCGTCAGCGCTCAAACGTTGTAAGGCATTCGCCACATCGTGTGGGAGCGGTTTAAGACGCACGATGCTAAGACGAGTCTCGTCTATTCTCTATTCAATGACGGTAAAACCAATTACAAAAGGAAAAGATCAAAGGATAAAGGAATTCAGGTTTTTGTAAACTGAGTAACCCAATGCATCCAAAGCATTATGCAGCGGTCCAAACAACAAAAACAGCTGCGATTGATGCGTAAACGGTCTGATTTAAAAAATGTACATGGTAGTTTATATTTTATTTCAGATTGGAATTAATATATTTCTCAAATTCAACAAAAACATCTTGCAGCTCCTTATACTCAGCATATTTACATGCCTCTGGTAACTCTAGCCATTTGTAGTCTTGATGCTCATCAGACAGTGTTACTTGTGTATTTGGATTTTTCAGCTCTGCTAGCCAATATATCACAGTTTTAGGTTTACCATGAGCTTTATAATGTAAGGTCTTTCTACAGTCTTCATATATTTTTAGATCATTTTTATCCAAACCTGCCTCTTCTTTTGTTTCACGGATTGCCGCTACCATTTCAGTCTCTCCAGGATCTACATGACCTATAATTCAATACACAGAAAAATGTACATAACTGATTACATACATGGCAAAAGTCGAATTACCTTTGGGAGGTGTCCAGTGATTGATTCCGTATGATGTTTGAAGAAGCAGGTACTCATTATTTTTAGAAATCTTTCTAAAAATAACAAATCCGGCTGCAACCTTCCCTGCCATTATTAAATGATGATTAAATTAGATAAAATTACCCTTAACCTTGAATGTGTAGCGGTAGCCCAATGAACTGTCAACACTGATGGAACAGGCGTATGGTGTATTTTTTAATTCACCGGTTGAGCAACCGGTGCCACCGGTGGACCAGACATCTGTCCTTTCAATTCAACCGGTTGCTGCCATCACCATACAAAGCTGTCAACAGTGCCAACCATAAGCATCAGTGGTGGAATCAACCGGTGAATTAAAGAATCCACCTGTAACGCGAATTCATTGCGGCTAGAATGACAAACGAGAAGGATAGCGCTAGTCAGGGCAAAACATTGGCAAAACATGGTGGTCCATTGTGGTATTTCCATATATGTTCTAAAGATTTTTGGTGAATGTTTGTTTTTAGTGACGTTAAAGATTAATAGTGATAGTTTGCGACAATTATTATAAACATTTTTATGCCGGACAGCCTTCAAGGGCTGTTGTTTTATGTGATATTTGTTTAAAAATGGTTGAATCTTGCAGTGCGGTGAATTGTTGCAATAGACGCAGAAAAGATGTGAAAATGAAGTTTCACAGGTTGGTTTTAATCATCTCATTCATTTTTGTGTGAGAATTACCTGTAAATTGGTAATTCGAGAAAATATCTGGATTTTTAGGATACCTACATATCCTAACATGAGGAAGTTGTGGTTACATGCTATAAGAAGAGAAAACTTTACTCCCAGTACAACAACGGTAATTTGTGAAAAGCATTTCACTCCAGAGGATTATGAAGTTAGTGTTCATGGAAATAAGGTACTAAAAAAGGTGGCAGTTCCATCTGTGTTTGATTTTCCAGCCCATCTCAATAAAGAACCTAGCCATGGAAGGGTTTTGAAAAGAAAACATGAAGAATCCAACAGGTATGTTCTTTAAAATATTCCCAGTCTAAGCTTAAGGTTTTAACTTTTCTACGTTTAAAAAAGATATTTACAATGATGAAGTGGGTTTTAGTAACGTAATTATTTTTAGAACAAACTTTGGCTATTGGTGAAGTAGTGGAAGAACCTAAAAATGGCGATCATGCTGATGATGGAAATATATTGGCAGCTGGTCCTTCAAACGTAACACAAAAACTAGGATTTTTAGAATCAAGTGAACCTTCAAACATATGCAATTTAAGGTAATTGTCATTGAACTTTGTGTTTCTCATTTGTTACAACCTCTTTTTGTTTGTAGGGTCAGAAGATCACCAGTATACTTTGGGGATTTCAAAATTTCAGATTTAAATAATGTGCAGCGTCGGAAGAGATTTTGGAAAACTGCTCATGAAACTGTTCATAAGTTCCAAAAAATTAACAAGTACAATCAGTGTAAAATTCGTAGCCAAAGAAATAAAATAAAAAGTCTGAATAGTCTGGTAGATGAACTACCTAAGGAGAAGAGAATATCTGCAGCTCAGTCAATAGTATTGAAGGTAGACATTTGATGAACAGATACTTTGCTGCTACAATTGTTACCTTGTTGTTGTTTATTTTCATTTGTAAAATTTTTATTTCAATTGTTGAACTCTGTTGAACATCTATTGATTACTAGCTAGAGTGATCATTTTACCATCACAGTATTTAGATTTTACATTTGGAGCATGAAATTTTTAGCTTAAAATTATGATGCATGCATACATTTTGTATTAACAGGAAAGTCTCCCAGAAACCCAAAAGCAACTGCTTTTCAGGCAGTTGAAAAAAAGAAAATCTAACTAGTATAGCCCAGAATTAAGGTGTTTTGCACTAACATTGAATTTTTATTCATCATCAGGATACAACTATGTTAGAAAAATATTTGGAAAAAATGTTCTACCACACCCTCGCACACTTTCAAAATGGTATAGTGTTGTAGATGGTACACCTGGATATAGTGCAGAAGCACTTCGTGCTATCAAAATTAAGGTGGATGTTGATAAACAAAAGGGAAAACAGCTAGTTGGCGCCTTGATGATGGATGAAATGTATATTCGTCAGCATTTACATTGGACAGGAAGTAGATTAGTAGACTACATAAATATTGGTGTTGCAATGCAAAGCAGTGAGGAGATCCCAAAGGCTACAAAAGCTTTAGTTTTCATGGTTGTTTGCATTAACAGTAGATGGAAAGTTCCAATAGCATATTTTCTAGTAGAATCTTCATCGGTTGAAGAAAAGGCTACCTTTGCGAGGGGCTGTTTACTGCAATTAGAAAGCACTGGAATGTTAATTAAGAGTTTGACTTTTGATGGTGATGCATCCAATATCCTTATGGCCAATTTATTAGGTGCAAATTTAACTTTTCCATGTACTAAGCCTTTTTTCATAAACTCTCTCAATAATGAAAAAATACATATAATATTAGATGCTTGTCACATGATTAAATTGGTGCGCAATACTTTAGGTGACTATGGTGTTTTAAAAGATGGTGGAGGGAATGAGATTAGGTGGGAATATTTCAAACAGCTTGTCAACTTGCAAGAGGATACAGGTCTACATTGCGCCACCAAGCTGAGGAGGAGACACTTGAACTACTACAAAGAAAAAATGAGAGTAAAGTCAGCAGTACAAACATTTAGTTCAAGTGTGAGTGATGCCTTAGAGTATTGTGCAAAAGATTTAAATATACATTCTTTTCAATGTGCAGAAGCCACTGCAACATATTGCAGAAATATAAATGATATATTTGATCTGTTAAATGTAAGAAACTTTTTTGGCTCCACCCAGTTCAAAAAACCTTTGTATAGGGGTAATGAGGAATTTCTAACAAATTTTGTAAATAGTTCTATTAGATATTTAAGTACACTAACAATCTATGAAGGTGTTAATATATAAGAAACCAGTAGAAAAACAGGTTTTTTGGGCTTGATAATTTGTTTAGTTAGTACGAAAAACTTATTCGAGGATTTGGTGAAAGGTGAAGTATTAAATTTTTTATTGACCTATAAATTAAGCCAGGATCATTTGGAAATGTTTTTTGCAGCAATACGCAGTAGAGGAGGATTTTCAAATAATCCAACTGCTTGGCATTTTGAACAAGCGTATAAGAGGTTATTAATTCACGGCGAAATCGCTTCGTCTGCAAGTGCAAATTGCCTTGCTATGGATCATACATCTATTTTAAATGTCTCCTCCAGGAAAATGAAAAACCCTTGCTTTGATCTTTTGTACGAATTTGAGGAAGATTTTTCCCCTAATTTGCAGGAGCAGTATATTGTCAATCACAACAAATTTTTTTAATTGTGTATATATTTGTGATGTTGTTCAATATATAGCAGGTTTTGTTAGCAAAAAAATTGTTCAAACCTCGAATTGTAATGAATGTGCCTGATCAGTGACAACATCTGATTCTGATTGCATGCTGCTGAATCGGAAAAATATAGGAGGTTTAATCAAGCCTACAAAAGATGTTGTAAAAATTTGTATGGTTGCAGAAGGTATAATAAAAACTGAAACAAACTTTTCTCATCCTACTATAATGTTAAGATTGGTCTCTGCTGCAATGAGAAATTTAAATTTGAACAAGGTTTTTTTATGTTTATCTAAGCACTCTCTAGAGAAAGACTCACTTGATGGACATATTATTCAATTGGTCAGACTTATGATGAAAAATTATTTGACTATTCGGCTTCACCACATAGATTCCACAAAAAATCAAATAACAGACAGAATTAGGCAAAGGTTAACAAAAACTATTCATTTTAAAAATCAGTAAATCAGCAATTTTTAAATTAGGTATAAACATATAAATTCACAGATGAACCTACTACTCATTAATATTCTTTTAAAACTTTCATTTATTTTTTTATCAGGGACATAATTTCTAGAATGAACTATGGTATAACCTATATTGTATTATAATGAAAAACTGTGCATCTACAGTATTGTTAATGCCATTGTGCACAAATATTTTGTATACATATATACATATAAGGGTTTTTTCTTTGTACTCTTTAATCTCTACAAAACTGGACGTGTTCCCACTAGATTTAGTGTTGACAGCTACAGTACTATAAAAATAAATTTAAATGTGCATAAATACTATTTGGAACATTATAAAGATATATAGAAAATAACATGTATTTATTGTGATATTTCTTAGATCTCTTATTTTTTATATGCAAGATATAGCATATTAGAGCAGTTAAGTTAATTGCAGACATGTAATCTCTTTGCTACCTGAATTATTAATTACTTATGTTAAATACTAATTTTTATATCTTCAAATGTGTAAAGTAGAATTTATTAATGGAATATAGATTGACAGATGAAATTTTATTAATTATTATGACTGTCCCACTCCTACAAAATCCAACCCGTACGTCCTCGAGTTCATTCTGCGGGGCGGCCTTGGGCGCTGAACCGTGTGCGGCCGTGTAGGGGGGGCAACGGGGTGCCGGTCTTGCGGTGGACCGCCTCGATCAGTTTTTGAGGAGACCCGCCGGAAAGCCGGTAGCCCGGCCAATCGAATGATTCGATGAGCCACAGGTGTCTCGGATGTATATCTGGGACGCCTGCAGCTCAACGGTCATCATGGGCAATGGTACTTTACCCAACCCAAGCTGTTAAGCGATTCCGTGCCGAGGGGTGCGTGGCGGTGGGGATGCACCGTCTTAAACGGAGCCTCTGGGACACCGGGCGACCTCCCAGAGTATCCAGCCTTGCGTCCGTGTAGGGGCACCGCGGACGTCGACCACCACTTTCCCTATACTCGTGGGAACAATATGGAACCCAATGAAAATAATAAAAAACCCGAGGTCCCCCCTACAGGGGACCCCGAACATCCAGGCGGCCCCTCACCAGGGGACCCTGATCGTACTCTGACAGAGGAATCTGTCAGAAGCTTAGCGAGAGAGCAAGCGGAACGGGTGGGCTCTCTAAAAATTAAGAAGAAGTCTCGGCCAGGTTCCGAAACGAAAAGGGCTCGGAAGCGGAGAGAGGCGCAGATGACGGAGGGCTCGGAAGGTCGGGGCACCACTTCTGGGACCCCGGCTGGACGGACCCAACCTCCATCTGGGCTAGACGGTGCGCAATCCGGTGTGTCAGCGAAGGCCCTAAAGCGGCCTGGCGACGAGAAGCGGCAGAGGTCTGCCGGTGGGACACCGGAGGGCACATCCTCGCGGAAGAAGCCTCGTACTGCGACGCATGCGCAAATTAGCTATGCGCGTGCGTCCCAAGCGGGTCTCAAGGTGGCTGTCGTGTCCTACGGTTATCCTGGGACTCAACTTACCGACGTACAGGTGCAGCAGGTCCAGGAGGCGGTCAGTGTGCTGATAGATGGGCTCCCAGATGAGGCGGCCCTTCCCAGGTACATTGACTGCTACCTCTCTCGAGGGGCAGCCATCTTTGTCTGCGAGGACGAATCCTCTAGGGCATGGTTGGAGGCCCACGTGGGGGATCTGCGGCCGTGGGAAGGTGCAAGGCTCATTACGATGAGCCTTGGAGACCTTACCATATACCACCGCGTGATGGCCTGGTTCCCGGGTCCCAACCTGGAAAACGAGGTAATCACGAGGAGACTCAGGAGGCACAATCCTGGGACTTCTCCCAGCGCGTGGAGGCTACTTGAGAGGAAGGAAGAACACAAAGGTGTCCGACTTGTCCTTTCAGTTGATTCCATAAGCTGGAAGGTCATTGCAGGTAACGGCAACTGACTGTGTTGCGGTTGAAGTTCGGGGGTGTTTACACTCCTGAGCAAGAAGAAAAGCAGTGGGGCGACACCTGCTGGAACTGGCCTGGCTCCAAACCAGGAGTCGGACCAGCCCAGACCGACGGGAGCTGTGGCGGTAGACCAGGCTCCTTCACAGGGGATGGGTCGGCCGGGTCAGCTCTCGCTGGAACCACCGGAGGTTACGGACGTGGAGGCGGCGGGTCCAAGCGGGATATCCGCAGAAAACATCGCGGCGGACCCTGCGATGGATCGGGTCCCAGAGGGCAATGATAGCGACTCGGACGAGGACGGAATCCTGAACCGAGTCCGAGAACTCCTCCGTGGAAGCGGAGGTGAAGGCGGCTGTGACAGTGAAGACTGCGGCAGCGACGGCGGTACGCCCGAATAGGGGACACATACCGTCATTCGGGAAGGTGTAGGAGGGGCCTCTCAACACCCATGGTAAGTCTTAATTTCATTCAAATTAACTTACAATACTGTATAGCGCTTCGAGGGCCCTTACTCAGGAGATCACTCGAGGCCGACATGACGTGGCTCTCATCCAGGAACCCTGGCTGAGAAACGGTTCAGTAAACGGGCTTAGTATACCGAGCTATACGCTTTTAGCGATACTCCGGACACTAAGCCCAGAGCTTGCGTAATGACTTCCGTCAACTCATGGCAACTTAAAGAATTTACATTCAGAGACTTAGTTGCAGTCAGAATTAGATATAAGGAGGAAGGCAGTGACAGGGACTTGGTTGTATGTTCGGATTACCTTCCTTACGATTCAAGAGACCCTCCTCCGTCCAAGGAAATGGGGGACCTTGTCGCATTCTGTAGGGATTCTGGACTCGACCTTGTGATTGGATGCGACAGCAAAGCCCATCACAGGGACACAGGACATCAGGGACTGGAAAGTGTCTCTAACACCCTCTCTATCGGATCACAGGTACATACTGTTTAAGGCTGATGGAGAGACTCCGGATAAATATGCTCGGAATCCCAGGCATACTAGATGGGGGTCCTTTAGGGCAGACATTGACAGTAAGCTTGGAGCGGTTTCATACAGGCTTTGCAGGGGCTCTGACATAGAAGCAGCTGTCGAGTCTCTGAGCAGGGACTTGACGGCTGCATATGAGGAAAACTGCCCGTTACGCAAAGTCCAAGGTAAGGGCAAGGCAACATTCTGGACCAAAGAATTAGAGGATAGAAAACGAGCGGTGCACAAACTTCTTAGCAGAGTTAAGCACAGGAGAAGTTCTCCTCTATGGGAAGAATACAAAAAGGCATTGCAGGAGTACAAAAAGGAGATTAGAAAGGCTTCCAGAGAATCCTGGAGGCACTTCTGTCAGTCCATAAATGACATTCCTGCTACTGCAAGAATACTCAGGGTTCTATGCAAAGACATTAAAGCAAGATTGGGATCGCTGCAAGATCCCTCGGGGGGGGAATACTACTTCTGAGGAAGGTACTCTGAGGCTTCTGATGGATACGCACTTTCCCGGTTCCACAGTAGAGCAATCAATCACAGAGTGCATGCGGTTGCGCAGGCCCTCAAGGGAGGACTGGCGCACGGCTAGGGAGATTGTCACCTTCGAAAGGACGGTATGGGCAGTAGATTCGTTTGCTCCATACAAAAGTCTAGGTCTGGACGGCGTATTTCCGGCCATGTTACAGCAGGGACGGATTTCGGTTGTTCCTGACCTGTTGAATGTGTTTCGAGCATGTGTGGCCACGGGCTTCACACCTAGAAGCTGGCGGCAGGCTAAAGTGGTATTCATTCCTAAACCGGACAGAGATAGATATACTGACCCGAAGGATTTTCGACCGATTACTCTTTCATCTTTTGTGCTTAAGACACTGGAAAAGATAGTTGATAGATACTTAAGGGATGGCCCGCTGGAAAGGTGTGTCATTCATGCAAATCAGTTTGCATACCAAGCTGGAAAATCGACTGATCTGGCCTTACACAATCTGGTCGGTAGGCTGGAGAAGACTCTAGATCAGCGAGAAGTGGCACTCGTGGCCTTCTTGGACATTGAAGGTGCATTTAATTGCACCACAACCGATTCTATCAGACAGGCCTGGTTAGACACGGGGTTGGATCAATCCTAATAGATTGGGTCCTCTCTACTCTGGAGGGTCGGGTAAGAACAGCTATGCTGAATAATGTAAGCTGCAGCGTGAATGTAGCTAGAGGCTGCCCTCAGGGCGGAGTTCTGTCACCCCTACTGTGGTGTATCGTGGTGAACGAACTCCTCGTTAGGCTCAGCAGTATGGGTGTCTATGTGCAAGCCTATGCTGATGACGTAAGCATAGTAGTTAGGTGGCGTTTCTGTAGAACAGTCTCGGAAATTATGCAGGGCATTCTGCGCTCCGTGAAATCGTGGTGTAGGGATGTCGATCTTTCTGTTAATGCTGAACAGACCGAGCTGATCCTATTCACTAGGAGAAGAAGACTTGACGGGCTGGTCATGCCGACCTTCTTTGGGACTAGATTAGTTTTGTCCCAGTCAGTGAAATATCTGGGAATTGTCCTGGATTGCAAACTGAACTGGTGAGAGCATGTGGAATACAAGGTTAGCAAGGCTCGCAATTCGATGTGGGCTTGTAGACGTGTTGTCGGGGTAAGGTGGGGGCTTAAACCCAAAGTGGTATACTGGCTCTACACGACGATAGTACGTCCATCTCTCTTGTACGGCTCCCTGGTCTGGTGGCCTTGCATTAGAACTGAGCCAACTAAGGCCAAACTCAATAAAATTCAGCGTTTGGCCTGTATTAGCATTACAAGCGCAGTGCGAACAACGCCATTGAGTGCAATGGAAGCTCTGCTGGATCTCCCACCGTTGGATCTGGTGATCCGCGGTGAAGCGAGAGTAGTCGCTCATCGACTGTGGAGTCAGGGCAGCTGGGCTTTCTTGAATCCTGTCAAGGGGCATACTGCCATCTTAGTCGAATTAGAAAGGGAGGACCCCGTCCTTCTAAGCAGGGGTGATCGTATTACCCCTAAATATCGCTTCAACCGCAAGTTATTGTGGAGTATCCAACGAGGGAGGAGTGGGACGCCGGTAGCCGGGGACTCTCCGAAGTGAGCGGGCAGGTCTGGTACACGGACGGCTCGGTCACAGAAGTGGGCTCAGGTGCTGGGGTCTCTGGGCCTAGAACTAGGCTATCTCTGCCTCTCGGTGGATACACCACCATTTTCCAGGAGGAAATCTTTGCGATTCTGGCTTGTGTATCTCACATTCTGGAGGAGGGTGGGCCTAGGAGAAGAATAACAATCTTATCCGACAGACAGGCTGCAATGAAAGCACTAAGTGCCTGTAAGATTACTTCGAGTCTTGTATTGCAATGCAGGGAGGCTCTGGATTGCCTCGCAGCGAGGCATCCGGTATCGTTAATATGGGTACCGGGGCACGCTGGGATAAGGGGCAATGAGACGGCGGACACTCTGGCGAAAACAGGATCAGCCAGCAAGCTCGTTGGTCCTGAGCCAGCTCTAGGAGTGACCGCGCATAAAGCTAGGAGG